TATAAGCCGGGCATGTACTCTGTCACTGAGCCACTACGTTCTGTCCCTAACTTCCCTTTCAGTTGAACAGGGCAGGTTCTGAAGGAACACCCAAGCATTGAAAGGGGACTAGAAAAGAGCCCACCCGCAGTTGGCTGGCCTTGGTCCACAGAGGCGTGTCGCACACACCTGTGGTGAGGAAGGCACAGAGGACTCTGGAGTGACTTCAAAGTGCTAGGGCGGATGTTATCAGAGATGAGGGTCAGGGAGACAGACTCTGAGTGGAAGCTTTGTGCGGAAGCCAAGTTCTGGAAACAAGATTGCGGACCCTGCTGGGACTCGGACTAAGGTGTGGTCCCAGAGGGGAGAGCACTCGGGCTGTCCTGGGTTGGCTACACTTGGGCCTCTGCCCAGACCCCTTGAATGTGAGGGGCGCAGGAAAGAAACCATTGGAACTCTCTGGTTAAGGGGAAAGTTTTTATTGGAGATAAGAGAGAGAGAACAGCCAGAGGCATCTGCAGTGGCCGCCTCTCGGACTGGTCGGAGAGAGAGAAAGGGTGGGGAGAGCAGACAGGCAGTTCCTGGGGCTGTGGGAGCAAAGGCAGCAAAAGTGGCGCCTGCCGGTTATGCTGCGGCAGGAGGGGGTAGGTTAGCTGCAATGGCGTGGCAGGTAGTGTGGGACTCTGACCCGTTGGAGGCTTGAGTTGAGAACTAGAAACTTCTCCGGAGACTGGGGGCTGTAGGAGCAGCTTTTCCTGACAAACAAGAGCCACTTTGCATGGTTTCTAAGCAAAGCAGAGTGTTTACCAGGTAACTCAACTTTGGACCAAGTCAGTGGGCCTGTCCTTTTGGAGGACCCTTGGACCTGACACCTCTGTGGTGTGCGGTTGGCTGTGGGTCCTCCCTCTCCTGGGACTGAGATCTGGCTCCACCCCTCAACCCTTCACAACTTCAGCTGTTCCCCTTCACAACCACGTCTCCTCTGTCTTCCCTCCTTAGCTTGCAGGGCTTTAAATTTGCGATCGTGTGGTTCAGAACTCCGAGTCCAGGAAAGTCCTTTTGTTCTCCGGTTTTTACCCCGCATCTCGCTTCAGGAGCATCGGAATTACAGGTGCGTGCCGCTGCACCTGGCCCTTTGTAGCTTCTGGGATTGGAACCTCGGGGCCTCGCACCAGCAGCATGCACAATTTACTCACTCAACCTTCTGCCAGTCCCACACCTGAACCTCATCTCCGCATTGGTCCAGGCTGGACTCAAATTTGCCTCATAGCCAAGGCTGTCTTTGAACTCCTGATCCTCCTGCCTCCGCCCCCCACATTCTGGGTTTGCAGGCCTGCACCACCAGGTCCAGCTACAGTTGCTTTCTATTGTGCCCACAGTAATGGCCTTGGGTCAGTGCCGTGGTGTCTTTCTGTGACACGGTGTTCACTCCTGTGTCCCACTCTAGGGAGGCATCACGATTGCGTCCTTGCTGTAACTGAGGGCATCTGGTGTAGGACCGGGCGCTGTGAGTGCTGTAATTGTTTCTCTAGGGCATCTGTGGTGTCTGGGTCAGGATTTCCCTAGGGCGCAGGCAGCTCAAACACACACATAAAGAGGGAAGATTGGGCGGCAGGGGTGGTGCATGCCTTTAATCCTAGCATTCGGGAGATAGAGGAAGCCGGATCTCTGAGAGTTCGAGGCCAGCCTGGTCTACTAGAGCAAGTTCCAGGACAGGCTCCAGAGCTACAGAGAAAGCCTGTCTTGAAAACCAAACAAGCAAAAAAAGAGAAGTCTGGAGATTGTGTTACCTTTTATTAATGTCAAAATCCGTGCACAACGATTACAAGACAGAGTGAGAAATTCGAGACTCATCACCAGCTGCTTGGCTCTTCCCGCTCGGGGACCAGCTCTCCGCACTGCTGATGCAACACCCTCCTTCCCAAAAAGGCCAGGCGGAAGCTCCTACACCGTCCAAGAGACCGTGTAACTCGTCGCCCAGGTTTGTTTCAGGTCACGCACCCTCAGAGAAGACCACACCCATTAGGCCAAGCTGCCCCAGTACAAGGCTATCGGACCGAATTCACAGCACAAACATGCACTTATTTTTTTCATTTGAGACAGAATCTGACTGTGTAGCATTGCCTGGCCTGGAACTCACTATGTAGACCAGCCTGGCCTCAAACTCCTTGAGATCCGCCTGCTTCTGCCTCCTGAGTGCTGGGATTAAAGGTGTGCAACCACCTTTTAAAATTTTTTTTTTCTGGAGTGTTTTTCTGTGCAGCCCTGGCTGTCCTGGAACTTGTTCTATAGTAAACCAAAGTGTCCTCAAACTCAGAGATCTAGGTATGCCCATCTGGCTAAAAATATTTTATTTGAAATTCTTTTTATTTTATGAGTAGTTTTGCCTGCATGTAAGCCTTGTGATCCATGTGCATGCAGTACCCCTGTAGGCCAGAAGAGGGCACCAGATCCCTTGAAACTGGAGTTACAGATGGTTTAAGACCCCATGTTGGTGCTGAAATTCAAATCCAGTTCCTCTGCAAGGAAAGCCAGTGGTTTTCAACCCCCAGATATTAAATTAAATAAATAAAATCTTCCTCCATCCAGTTTCCTCAGCTGCGTCCCAGTTTCTTGGTCTGCCAAAGGCACCCTACCTCTCCCTACCCTCAAGCTGAAAAACACGCGTTATCTGCCTGTGAATCACATCGCTCATCCAACCAGTCCCACGTCTGGGACTCTGTGGCAACAGCTTTGCTGACAAGTCGTCACTCGGCCTGGCCACCCTGTTCTCTTGGATCATCAACCCTGACCTCACCTGCCTTCCGAGACTCGCCAGCTGAGGTGCACGGTCAAGCCCGGCTTAGTGCTCACGGAGGTCACGTGCTTCCCGGGCTTCACGGAGGTCACAGGCTGCACGGGCTTCACGGAGGTCACGTGTTTCCCTTCTGACCTTGCCTTTCTCCTAGGCGGACTCCAGGCTTCGTCTGCTCCAGAAGTCATGGACTTTATTGCCTTCTGATAATGATCAGGCACACCACCTGCCAGGCACTCAGCCATTATCTGTCGTCTTTACAACACCCCTGTCCAGCTCGGGGACTACTGCCTGCTTTGCCAACGGGGAGAACAGCAAAGACATTGTGTGGGCCACACGGCATGTAAATAGCAGAGCTGAGGAGTCACCTTCCTTTTGTACCTCTGAACCCATTAGGCCTCCCCTCCCAAGAAAGCCAGAGCTGTCCCCCCCCCCCCCACCGCCGCCCTGCGTCCTCCCGGTCTCCCCACATCATCCCCAGCTTCTCTGATGTTCCAGCTCACAGGGCTCCCCTTCCTTAACTCCTCTGGAAGTGATCAAGCCTTACGCAATTTAGTAGTTAATTACAGAGTCTCTTGGATGGGTCTCTGCATATTTCACAGGTGCCTGGCAGACTCCCAGGAAACCTGTTAGGATCTGGTTTCGGGAAGCTGCAGAAGGGGGGGGGAGGGGCACTTCTTGTTTCCATTGCCAAAAGTCATTGGCCCCTGCTTCTTAGCGTGTTCGCATGTTTGCACACTCGCACAAGTGAGTGCATGCGCACGCGCACACACGCTCCTAATCAAAAGCTGCCCTCCAAATTTGGCAATTAGCTGTCTGAAGCTATCTACATAAGATGGAACATTGGGGCACCCCCTCATTAGGGGGTGCTCGACATGGCTCTTACTGTGTAATTCCAGTTTGGATCAGAGCTGATGGGAGCTCCCGGGACCCGGAGAGACATTGATGTTACCAACTACAGAGTCTGGGGTTGATTGGGACTTGGAGGGGGACAACTTGATGTCTCAGTTCTAATTCTGGTCCTGCTGCCATGTGGTGATGGCTGTGATGGTGGAGGAGGAAGCGGAGGAGGAGAATGAGGAGGGGGAGAATGAGGAAGGGAGAGGAGGAGAGGGGACATTTTTGCTGCCTTAGTGATCATCAGTAACATTTTGGGCTGGGAAGAGAATTCCTCCTCCCCGGGAGTCATGCTGGGCAACCCTAGAACTGACCATGGTCCCCTAAGGCCCTGTCCCTTACCGAAACATCTTCCCACCCTGACCCTGATGTCCCCACATGGGACCCCATGGCCGCTCCTCCCACCCACAACCTGTTATCCATGTGATCATCTTGGCATGACCTAGCTTTCTGCTCCCTGCCTTCCTAGACTCTTAAGAGACAGCGTATAGGCTGGAGAGATGACTCAGTGCTTGGCACTCTCCCAGAGGACCCGGGTTCAGTTCCAGCACCTACACCAGGCAGCTCACGACTGCCTGTGACTCCAGCTCCAGAGCATACAATGTCCTCTTCTGGCCTCTGCAGGCAAAATAACATGGAGAGCCAGCACTGGGCTTGGAAGCCGGTGAGAGGTCCCTTGGTCAGGCCAGAGGAAAGGAGATGGCGGGATGGGTGGGTCAAAGGTTGGAAACAGCGTTGCCAGTATTTTGTCAACTTGACAGTTGCTGTGAAGAGGGAGCCTCCTCTGAGGATTTGCCTCCATCAGATTGGGCTGTGTGCAAGACCTGGGGCGGGGTGGGGGCTGGGGTGGGGGCGGCACTTTCTTGATGAATGATTGATCCGGGTCCACGGAGGAGAGTCCCGCCGTGGGCAGCTGGTCCTGGGTTGTATTAGGAAGCGAGCCAGTAAGCAGCGTTCCTTCACCCCTCCATTCCAGTTCTTACCCTGACCTTCCTTCCTGATGGACCCTAAACTGTGAGCTGAAACAACCCCTCCCCCGGGTTGCTTTTGGTCATGGCGCTATCACAGCAATAGAAAGCAAACGAGGGCATCCCCCCCTGCACTCTCCCTCCCCCGCGCTCCCCCCCGCTCCCCCCCCCTCTTCCCCCCCCCCGCCCCCCCCAGTCCTACTTCTCCAGTACAGTTTCACCCAGAGCCAATCCTAACATGAGAATAAACAGAGAGGCGCTTATGTAAGAACATTTCCAGTCTGAGGAGGGGTGGGGGAGGGGCGCGGGTGGGAGTTACTCCTCCCCTTGGAAAGCCAGAGCCACCCAGCAGTTCACCCTGGGGCTTAAGTGGGGGGGACACAGGAGCCCTGCGGGGGTGGCTCGTAGCTCTGTCCCTGCAACAGCCTGTCAGGGAGGGAGGCACCGGGTGAGGCACTGGCAGAGATTTTGCAACTGGATGCTGAGGGCTGAGAGGCACCGCCTCTCCGCCTCTCTCTCCGCCTCTCAGGAGAAGGGATCAGGGAATGCCCCACTCCTAGGTGCACCTGGGATGGGTGGAGAGAGCGCGAGGAACCTGTGCCCGACGTTGAGTCTAGTTAGGTCATGGAGACAGCATGGGGTCTGTAGGACCAAGACCTTGCCCATGACTCTGAGGGCAGTCTGCCTTTCATCCAGGCCCTGGGGTCCCTTATCAGTCTTTTGGGGTGCCTCTTAGCAAAGCTAAACAGGCCCAGGCAGTGGCTGGGAGAACCACCCATGGGTGCCTGGCTGGGCCAGTAGAGTCGCCACATTCCAGGCTCTTGGCTGGCGGAGAAGGAGACAGACGGGTGCGGGTTCCGCCTCCACTGGGAGGTCAGAGGCCCCGAAGATGGACGAACAGGTGTTCAAGGGGGACCCAGACACCCCTCATTCCATCTCCTTCTCGGGAAGCGGGTTCCTTTCCTACTACCAGGCAGGGGCTGTGGACGCTCTGCGAGACCTGGCCCCGAGGATGCTGGACACAGCCCATCGTTTTGCTGGGACATCAGCCGGCGCAGTGATCGCTGCCCTGGTCATCTGTGGGATTGAAATGGGTAAGACCTTTATTCTGGGGTCTCTGGGGCCATGGCGGGGGGCTGCTAAAGGGACTCCTCTGAGCAGGACCTTGTGACTTTGGAAGTGCTTTGGGAACAGAGCCAGGTCTGGCAGGTAGGGCACGAGATGCTCAGGAAATGGTGGTCAGTCTTGAGGTGTGCCAGAGTACCCATAGGTGAGCAGAGGTCTTCCACACCACCCTGAGCTGGGAGCTGCTCTGTGTCCCAAGCCAGAAGGAAAGAAGCATAGCCTCCTACCCCGACACACACACACACAGGCACGCGTGCACGTGCAGACGTACACACTTGTACACACTCACACGCACATACACACAATCACACACACACACTTGCACACACACTCACATACTCCTCCTCCCTCAGGCCTGTCATGAGTGAGGCTGGGTTAGGCTTCCTTCTATAAACACCTAGGGAGGGGAAATGCTTCTCACTTTCTAGCGTGGAAGGGATTCCCACTGGAAAGACATAAGTCTGAGATTTGAGGTGGCAGGAGAAGCCAGGGACGGAAGTGGGCACAGTGTAGGAGCTTCGCCTCCGCCCTGGTGGGTCAGGAGTCTCAGTGCTGACCCTGGGCTATGAGCAACAGGCTCCTGGTCCATCAGTGTAGAGCACAGGCCTGACCACCCCTACCTGCTCAGTGCTAGGCCGGGATGCATGCCTTTGTGGAACTGAAGTTCTAGAACGTTTTAGAAAGAAAGACAGATAAACTTAAATAGGGATGTCTCTCCTGTCATGAGGGGAAGGGGCAGGGGCCTGTGAAGAAACTGAAGTTGGCTGGGATGAAGGGAGAAAGGCGGACTGTGTTCGAAAGATGTTCAGGGAAGGCCATGCTGAGGAGGTGGCCTCCAAGAGGAGGTCGCATAAAGAAGGGGACGCACGGAGAAAGAAACTTCCTGGAGCCCTGGGTGATGGACCTGAGGGAGGTCGGAGGTGGAGGCAGGTGACCCAGCTCCTACCTGGTGCCGACACCTGTGGGGTTCTGAGAGTGGGCCCACAGACTGAGTCCTAGCCTTGGCAGTCCCTTCCATGGGAACAGAGGCCCGTTGCTGAGCTGGCTGTGCCTCGGTTTCCTCCATCAGGGCAATCCCACGATGCCCTGACCCGGGGTGTTCAAAGCAGGAGCTGTACTGACGGGCATGAACTGTTTGGTGATCGGAGCCCAGAAGTTCTGCACATGGCCAACCATCTAGTTTGGGTTTTTTTTTTTTTTAAATATTTATTTGTTTATTATGTATACAATATTCTGTCTGTGTGTATACCTGAAGGCCAGAAGAGGGCGCCAGACCTCTTTATAGATGGTTGTGAGCCACCATGTGGTTGCTGGGAATTGAACTCAGGACCTTTGGAAGAGCAGGCAATGCTCTTAACCACTGAGCCATCTCTCCAGCTCGTAGTTTGGGGGTTTTAAGGATCCCCAACGGCTAGGCAGCTTGGGTTGGAGGTAGAAGATGAGTGCGCTGTGTGGATGGGGATGGATAGGAGGTTGGGTTGAGAATGTGCTAGAAGGTAGAGCTGACGAGACCAGCTGAGTGTCCGCTGTTAGTTCTCTCTGAGGAGGAGGCCACACCCAGTGCCCCGCTGCCTGGACCTCTGCACTGGGGGTGGGGCTCCCAGAGCATGGCCATAGAGGGCTCACTAAGTACCACGAATGTGCAAGGTACCTCTGTCTTTTTAATAGTCTGCAAGAGACAATGGGAAAAGAGAGTTAAAATTCCTACCCATGCTACAGCCCCTAGTCTCCTCTTCCTCCCCCGGCTGGGGCAGCGAGGAGCAAAGATTTTCGGGAATCTTTCTTAGGCTCAGGGTCCTCAGTGGGTAAGCTCTCAATGTCTTTCTGTCTAGTGGAAAGGACGTCAGGCCTTCAGAAGGGGCCTGGGGAAAGAGTTAGCCCCATTTGGGGTTGCAGACTCCCCACCCTGGAGGCAGTGCTCCCTCGGAGGGGAGGCCCTGGCCTTGAACTCTCCACGTAGCTGATCCTCCTGCCTTCTTCTTCCAGGGGTTACAGCTGTGCATTTCTGTAGACAGAACTTTCTGTCCTACCCAGTCCCATAGCCACCCAGTACCAAATAAACACACAGAGGCTTGTATTAATTATAAACTGTTTGGCCTATTAGCTCAGGGTTATTATTAACTAGCTCTTACAACTTAAGTTAACCCATAATTCTTGTCTATGTTTAGCCACGTGTCTTGGTACCTTTTCTCAGTGAGGCATTCTCATCTTGCTTCTTCTGCATTTGACTGGTAACTGACCCTCTGCCTTTCCTTTTCCCAGAATTCTCTTAGTCTGACCGCCCCTCCTATACTTCCTGCCTGGCTACTGGCCAATCAGCATTTTATTAAACCAATACGAGTGACAAGTCTTTATAGTGTACAAGAACATTATCCCACACCATTTCTCCTTTTTTCTTTTCAAAACAAGAACCCTGAATCTAATCTCCTTTGTTTAGCTTTTTTCCTGGCCATTATCCATAACAACTTGTAACCAATACTCTAAACAAAAACAAACATTCATAATACATTTTTTTAAATGTGGGCATAGTTTTCTAGGCTACTTCCTGTTGATTGGCAGTGCTGGTAATTTTTGGGAACCCAAAGAAAATTTAGGATTATGGTCAAGTCCTGACTGGAGTATCTGTGAGACTAGATTATCTCAGCCAGCAGCCTTGAAGCTGTTCTGGATGCAGAACTCAGAGGAAACTGCAGCAGAGGTGCTCTGAGACATTGGCTCATCTGGACCATTCTTTCCCACTGGAGATTTCTCAGGCGGTCTTCCTCAATCAAACCTTATTTTTCTTAACCCAGAATGAGTCCACAGCCTCTCATTTCCTTTGGAAATAAAAGCAAAACCTCTTCTCCAAAGCAACATCTCTTTTGACTTAAATTTTGAAGTCAAGACATTTTAAAAATGTATATAGGTTGGATTAATCCAGCAGTATTTATAATCAAATGTCCTTTTAGCAGCTGTTGCTCCTTCCTCAGCAGTAGAACAATACAAAGACACACAATAATATACAGTATCCAGACTCTCTGTGTATTTTCCATCTTTATGTGCCTTTAAAAAAAACTATTTCTCTTATTTTTATTTTTAATTTTTTTATGATTTATTTATCTTTTTATTTTATGTTCACTGGTATGAAAGTGTCAGATCCCCTGGAACTGGATTTTCAGACAGTTGTGATCTGCCATGTGGGTGCTGGGAATTGAACCTGGGTCCTCTGGAAGAGCAGTCAGTGCTCTTAACCGCTGAGCCATTTCTCCAGCCCCATAATTTTTTTTTTTTTTTTTTTTTTTGAGACAGGATTTTTCTGTGTATCTTTGGCTGTCCTGGATCTCACTCTGTAAATCAGGCTGGCCTCAAACTCACAGAGATCCACCTGCCTCTGCCTCCCAAGTGCTGGGATTAACGACATGCACCATCATGCCCAGCTACTCTATTTCTTTTTTTTATGAATTTTTTATTCTTTTTTCTTTTCTCCCCCAAGCCTATGTATATTTATAAACACACTATAAGCTGTTTAGAGGTTTTTGGGGTTGTTTTTGTTTTCCTGAATCTGTCTTTACTGTATATCTCTATCTTTTTTGGATCACATGAGTCTTTAATCTGCTAAGTGGCATGGCTAGGATTAAAGCTGCAACTTTGGCAGCTGACTTCATCCCATTCCTTAGCTCTTTGAGAGTCTAGCTTCATGGTGGAGATACTGACAGGAGCCTCATTTATTGCCACAACTCTGTGGAGTTTCTGGGTTTACGCCACCACCAAGAAGCCTGATACCAGCTGCTCATAAACACCATTTAAGTGTTTGGTGGCAGAGCCTCTTAAAAGAGCTGCAAGGTTTTTGCCACTAATGCTGAGTAAGAAAGCCTCTCTTAAAGGAGCTGATTCCTCTGCTTGCCTCTAGCAAACAGAGCCTACCAGATAAAGGATGGTTATCAAGAAGCTGCACTTGACTCGTTCTTGTCTGTGTAGAATCCTGTTTTAAAAAGCTTTTTCAAGCTTTATGTGGAGATTCTTGCCAAACATTTGGGCACCATTTGTAGATGGAAGTTTCCATCCCACCTGGTTTCATAGCCATTCAGTTCCAAATCAATACACAGAGGCTTGTGTTAATTATAAATTGTTTGGCCTATTAGCTCAGGCTTATTATTAGCTAGCTCTTATCATTTAAATTAACCCATAATTCTTGTCTATGTTTAGCCACGTGTCTTGATACCTTTTCTCAGTGAGGTATTCTCATCTTGCTTCATCTGCATCTGGCAGGTAACTCTGCCATTCCTCTTCCCAGAATTCTCTTATTCTGGCTGCCCCGCCTATACTTCCTGCCTGGCTACTGGCCAATCAGCGTTTTATTAAACTAATATGAGTGACAGATCTTTACAGAGCGCAAGAACATTATCCCACAGCATACCATGACCATTTTTGTGGTGCTGGGAATTGAACCTAAGGCTTTGCATATGCTAGGCAAGCACTCTACCCAGTGAGCCACATCCCCAGTTTTGGTTCCTGCTAAAGTTCTTAAATATATACCATCCCAGTGAGTTTATGGCAATACTTGAGAATCAGCTCAGTTTATTCCGTCAGGGAAATAAGAAGCCTGCTTAGCCCACCTGAGGCTATCACAGAATTTGGGGAATGGAAGGATGTCGTGAAAAAGCCTCTGTGGGGGACCAAGGCCTAGACCCAGCATGGCTCATGAGTAGGGCAGGATGGAAGCAGGGGTGTGGACATCCAGCTCAGTCATTTTACTGCCCCATGAAGTCCTGACAAGTGGCATGTCCTTTGTATCAGACCCCATTCGGAGTTTGTAGCTATCAACTCATCCAGGCCTCACCATACCTTCGGAGGTAAAAACTATTATTATCTCCCATGACACAGAGGAGGAAACTGAGTCACAGGACACTTAGACCACTTACCTGAGGTAATACAGTGTGCTCGGGAAGGCACAACTTGAACCTACTTTGGCCAGAGTGGACACTTTAAT